TCTTCCTTCCTCACCTTTCTGCCATCCTGATGTTACATTCCTTTCATTGCTGTCCAGGGCAGCACAGAGATAGACTCAGATTTTGCAGCTACTTGCATGCAAGTATTTCTGAGAGGCATCAGCAGAGTTTTGCTGAAATAAAGTCAACCAGGTGACAACCAATAGAGGCCTAAAAGTGTGAGCTTACAAGTTAACTGCTGCTCTGACCTGCTTTTGATATCCTGAAGGGGAATTAACTGAGATGCCAGGACTTGGGGATCCTTTTGACATCCCTCCTGAAATCATTACAACATTATGACAGAACAGGGGCAGGTTAAAAGTCTATCTGATCCTGTAACCCCCCTCTAGTAGCATCCTGCTTTAAAAAACAAAACATGGGCATGAGTAGACTTAGCAATGAGGAATATATAAAAATACATGCAGTATATAGTGGTTTGTTTTTTTCATGAATTAGGCTACCTGGACCCACGTAAATTTCACATATCCCTTTATCCCACAGTATAACTATGTATAATATGATAAAGTAAATTATTTTGTTTACATTGAATCTGTGACTTTGTGTTTTGGCATCCCTTATTTTATCTGAAGAGGAACACAGATCAGCCATTCCCTACTGGCTTTCTCCTGGAAGCTCAGGTTTTTGTGCATCTCTGTGACAACTGTGTCAACAGACATGTTTCTTTCTTACAGCTGAAGAATCCAACATGAATAATTACATTATAGATTTGATTACCTTTACTGCCATTTATTACACCTTTTCTATTAAAAAATGCACTTAAGGAAAAAACCTCACAGCCTATTCAGATGGTGGACATACATGGCTCCCTCAAAACTTGGGAAAAGAAGTTCTTTTCCCATCAACTTGAGGAATTGCCCAGACCTGCTCCTCGCAGCACTACGGTATTCCCAGCTGGTGTCTGGGAAATTAATGTCCCCCATGAAGAGAGGGGATGCCGATTGTCGTGGTTTAAACCCAGTCAGGTAACTTGTTCACTCACTCCCAGTGAGTGGTGCTGAGCTGACAACAATCGAGGTCCGTGTCCGTCTCCCCCCCCCCCCCGCACCGGGGCTCTCCCCTTCCCCGCTCCCGGAGGAACGGGGAGGAGGATCGAGAGAGTGCAACTCCTACGGGTTGAGACAAGAACAGTCCAGCAACAAATCACCACCGCTACTATCAGCTAAAACAATGATAAGGGAAAATAACAAGGGAAGAGAATACGATACCACCGGCCAAGAAAACGAGTTCCACCCGGAAGCCCCTGTCCTTCCAGGTAACTCCCAGTTACCTCCTGGGCATGACGTGCTGTGGTATGGAATACCTCCCCGGCTAGCCCGGGTCAGGCGCCCCGTCTCTGCTTCCTCACAGCTTCCCCTCCTCCCTGGCAGAGCATGAGCCTCACAGAGTCCTTGGTCAGGGTAAACATCACTTAGCAACAACCGAAAACATCGGCTTCACCAACACTGCTCTCAAGCTAGAAGTCAAAACACAGCACTGCACCAGTTAACACAAAGGAAAAACATGACTGCTACTGCTGAACCCAGGACACCGACCCAGTGATTTCCCCTAACAGCCTGCAGACCAGCTCCTCAGGACTGGCATTCAGGCTGGGCAATGGGTAGGAGACATCCGCAGCAGGCGCTTTGTTTTACACTCCCCTCATCCTTACTCAGAGTGGTGGAACACAGGGAAACTGACTGGCACTGACTGACTGACCCCTGAGACCACAGCAGCAGATTCCATGGGCACTCTGCAATGTACCTCAATGAGCAGTGGAAACTTTGCTCTCTTGAACTCCAGGGCAGTGACTCTGCTGCCCCTTCTCTGCGTTCATCTGACAACTGTCAGTTCAACCCTTTCACAATCATGGTGGCCAAGATCATTCCTGCCAATCCAAGGCCTTCCACAGTTGCAGCTCCTCAGTCAATTTCCAAATTGACTCTTCCCACCAACTTGAGGAATTGCCCAGACATGCTCCTCGCAGCAGTAAGGTATTACCAGCCGGTGTTTGGGAAGTTGATGTCCCCCATAAAGAGAGGGGATGCCGATGCAGTGATTTCTCCTAACTGCCTGCAGACTAACTCCTCAGGGCTGGCATCCCAGATGGGCAATGTGTAGGAGACACCCACAGCAGCTGCTTTGGTTTACAGCCCACTCATCCTCACCCAGAGGTCTCAACCACATCATCAGTGATGGGAAGGGCTGAAACATAAACCCTGTGCCGTACACGCAGTGCAACACCTGCACCTCGCCTGCCCTGCCAGCCCCTCCTCAACAGCCTGGAACCTCCATCCCAACACTCCAGGCATGGGACACCTTCCACCAAGTCCTGCTCATCCCAAGGAGAACCCTGGTGAGATTCATCAAGTTATTCCCTGCCCAACTCTCCAGCCTGTCCAGGTCTCGCTGGATGCCAGCACAGCCTTCTGGCGTGTCAGCCACTCCTCCCAGCTTAGTGTCATCAGCAAACTTGCTGATAGTACACTCAATTCCCTCATCTAAATCATTGATGAATATATTAAATAATACCGGTCCCAGTACTGACCCTTGAGGCACTCCACTAGATACAGGCCTCCAACTAGACTCCGCCCCATAGACTACAACTCTCTGGCTTCTCTCCTTCAGCCAGTTCACAGTCCACCTCACTACCTGATCACCCAGACCACACTTCCTCAATTTAGCCGTGAGGATGCTGTGGGAGACTGTGTCAAATGCTTTGCTGAAGTCAAGGTAGACCACATCCACCGCTCTGCCATCATCCATCCACCGTGTTATTTCCTCATAAAAGGCTATGAGATTGGTCAAGCATGACTTCCCCTTGGTGAAGCCATGTTGACTGCCCCTCATAACCCTCTTATCCTTGATATGCCTTAAGATGGCACCAAGGATAAGGTGTTCCATCACTTTCCCAGGGATGGAGGTGAGGCTGACCGGTCTATAGTTACCCGGGTCCTCCTTCTTGCCCTTTTTGAAGACTGCAGTGACATTTGCTTTCCTCCAGTCCTCGGGCACCTCTCCCGTTTCCCAAGACTTGGTAAAGATGATGGAGAGTGGTCTAGCAATGACTTCCGCCAGTTCCCTCAGCACCCGCGGGTGCATCCCATCTGGACCCATGGATTTATGGATGTCCAGATCGCTCAACTGGTCTCTAACCCATTCCTCATCGACTAAGGCAAAACGCTCCATTGACCTGACTTCATCTGAGGTCTCAGGGGTACAGGGCTCTTCAGGACTGCCTCCGGCAGAGTAGACAGAGACAAAGAAGGCATTCAGTAACTCTGCCATCTCTGTATCTTCTGTCACCAGGGCACCCATCCCGTTCATCAGTGGGCCTACATTACCTCTGGTGTTAGTTTTATCTGCCATGTATTTGGAAAAGCTCTTTCTGCTGTCCTTGACCCCTCTCGCCAGATTTAATTCTAAGGAGGCCTTAGTCATCCTAGCTGCCTTCCTACGTCCTCTAGCAGCAGCCTTATATTCCTCCCAAGTGGCCAGCCCCTCCTTCCATGACCTGTAAACTCTCCTCTTCCACTTGAGCATACCCAGCAATTCCCTATTTAGCCACACAGGTCTCCTGGTCCTCTTCCTTGACTTCCTACGTGTCGGGATGCTCTGATCTTGAGCTCGGAAAAAGCAATCCTTGAATGCCAACCAACTATCTTGGGCCCCTTTACCTTCAAGCAGCCTTGCCCATGGGATTTCCCCTAGCAATTGCTTGAAAAGGCCAAAGTTTGCCCTGCTAAAGTCCAGGTTTGCAATTCTACTTGCTATTCTACTGGTCCTACCACACAAGATCCTGAATTCCACCATCTCGTGGTCGCAGCAACCAAGGCAGCCCTCAACCCTTACTGCTTCGACCAGACCCTCCTTGTTAGTGAGGATGAGATCCAGCAGCGCTCCTCTCCTGGTCGGCTCATCCACCATTTGCAGGAGGAAGTTATCACCCATACGCTGGAGGAACCTCCCGGACTGTGGCTGGGTTGCCGAGTGGTCCTTCCGGCAAACATCAGGGAAGTTAAAATCCCCCACGACGACCACAGCCTGTGACTGTGAGGCCGCTCTCAGCTGCCTGTAGAAGGCCTCATCAACTTCCTCACCCCGATCCGGTGGTCTGTAACAGACACCCACAACAGTATCGCCCCTGCCAGCCTGCCCCTTCATTCTCACCCACAGACTCTCAACTCGCTCGTCATCTGTCCCTGGACAGAACTCGGTGCATTGTAGTTGCTCCCGCACATAAAGAGCAAACCCACCACCCCGCCTGGCTGGCCTGTCTTTTCTGAAAAGGACATAGCCCTCCATGACTATATTCCAGTCATGTGAGCTGTCCCACCGCGTCTCTGTAATTGCCACCAGATCACAGGCTCCTGACTTAACACAGGTTTCCAACTCCTCCTGCTTATTTCCCATGCTGCGCTCATTGGTGTACAGACATTCCAGGGAGCGAGCTGAGCACACCGATTTCACCCTAGGGTTATAGGAGGCCTCCCAGTCTTCATCAATTCTGGAGCGCTGCCCCACTGGGGCAAGCCCAGCTACAACCCCATCCCCCTTCGAATCTAGTTTAAAGCTCTCCAAATGAGCCCTGCTAATTCGTGCCCCAGCATCCTTTTGCCTCTGTGAGACAAACCTTTCTCACTTGTCATTGTCCAGACTGGTGCCCTATAAAACCAGCTGTTATCAAAGAATCCAAAGCCCTGCCTGTAGCACCAGTCTCGAAGCCAATTGTTTATGAACTGAGTGACACCTTCCACCAAGTCCTGCTCATCCCAAGGAGATCCCTGCTGAGGGAATGGACCAAGGCTTCCAGCAAAAGGCGCCTGCACCCACAGCTCCTGGGAGCCATCGCTAGGGGCTGGAGGACCCCCGGCCCCTTTAAACCTCTCCCTCCCCAGCAGCAGCTGGGGACAATGCTAGGGCGGGGCAGAACACGGGGAGCCCCAACGTTCCGCTGGGGTGGTGTCCAAGAGTCCTTAGCAACAGCCACCAGTCAGTACAGACCATGGAGCTGCCACCACAGCAGCTCCCACTGGATGGCCCCCAGGCCCCGCTCGTGCTTCAGCTCATTCCAAACTCTGCGCTCCCCGAAGGCTTCTACCCTCAAGGTGGGAACCTACCCGGCAGCCACGGCTGCTGTGGGGGCAAGAGCGGAGGTGACCGCGGCCATGGCTCCTGTCTCTCTTTCAGGCCAAGCCAACCTGTGCCAACCTCTGCCAGCCTCTGCCAACCTCTGCCAACCTCTGCCAACCCTTGCCAACTGCCAGCAGCAGCCCTTCCCTGCATCATGGATCCCCTGGAGAGCATTGTCACCCTCGGACGAGCAGGAGCCACCAGCAGGTCTGTCACCCCTGTCTGCTCTTGCACCCCAGCACCTTCTACACCTCCAACCTTCCCAAGGCCGGGTGCTGGGGGATCCCACCCCTCTGTCCCCAGGCAGATCCGGCACAGGGGCTCTGCAAGCCCGGCAGGGCATCCCTTCTCTCGCCTGGCTGGGGTGTGCCCAGTCAGTCCCATCTCCAGGGACGTTCCCAAAGGCTCAGGGCCACCTCTCCCGTTCCACCTCCCAGAAGCTACTCTCCTCCTTCTTTCCCAGCCCGTCCTGCCAGCACAGCAGCTCAGCCGTAGGGAGCGCCCCGGCCACCAGCTCCCCCCGAGCCTGGCGCAGAGCTGGGGGCTGCAGGCAATGCGGGTGGCCCTGGACGTCCCCACGGCTCAGCACGGCTCCCACTCTCCCTCACAGGGCTGCAGAGGGCTCCATGTGGCTGCTTCTTCAACCCCCAGCACTTCTCTGTGCAGTGGACCGTGCCTAGACCACCTCCAGCAGACACCTGCACACCGGGCTTCAGTGCTGCTACTCTGCCAGGTGCTGCCATGCTGGGGACTGGGTACTGCGGGACCCTCCTGGCCTGGGCAGCCCCCGGGACCCCCCAGGGCCCAGCACAACACCTTGCACCCCAGAACCATCAGGGGACAGGAGCAGCGGCCCCAGTGCTGCCAGAGCCCAACCCTAGGAACACCCACATCAACGGGGTGCCTGCAGGGAACAACGTCGCCAGCATGAACACCTCCATGGGGATAGCCCCTGGTAATAACATCCCCACGGGCAGCAACGTCCTCCTCAACCGCTCTTCTAACCACCAGAATCAAAGACTTGGTGAGCCAGATGCAGACATTGAAGTCACTGAGGAGATGCTCCTCAAAGAGGCTCTAAGGCTCTTTGGTATGTCTGAGGAGATGGAGGCAGTCATCCAGCATGGTTCCAGCAGCGTCATCATGCCTGAGGACCATGATGACGCCATCAGAAAGGCTAGAACGCTGGCCCCAGCTGCCCCAGACTTGCTGAATTCCATCCCCAGCAATAAATACATCGACGGGGTGTCTGCACAGCCCAACACCCCCAGCACAGCCACCTCCGTGGGGACAACCTTGGGAATTAACATCCCCCCAGGAAACGATGTCCCTCCAAGCAGCTTTTCTGACCCCCACCATCAAGGCTTTGAAGACATGAATGACAACCTTGCACGTGACAAAGAGGTGCCTCTTGACGAGGCCCTGAGGTTCTTCGGTTGCTATGAGGACACTGAGAGGGTCATCCAGGAGGGTCCCAGCAGCAGCCGCATACCTGAGGACCCTGGTGGCACAGACACAGACATCTCCCTCTGCGACTTCACCTCGCTCTCACTGCCAGATGAGCTGCTCACCTGTGACTACGATGTCAATGAGATAGCCAAAGACATCCAGAGCCTTGAAGACATCGTCGATACTGGAAAGTACCCCCATGAGTTCTGGGCTGATGTGGGGATGGACCTGGAACCATCCCAGCCTGACGGTGCAGAGTACTGGGGGATAAAGTAGGGGCTGAGAACCTCACCCAAGCAACACAGCAAGTGCAGCGCTTGCTGGTTGACTTAACGAGTCTTTTTCTCTTATTTTTCCATTAAAATCCATTTCTCCAGAACCGCTCCATGCCTGTGCGGGAGGGGAGGGAGCACCGAGGGGCACTGGGAAAGGACACCATTGAGCCTCATATCAGAGCTGCCCAGCCCTGAGGGGCACCGAGCTGGCCCCAGAGCAGAGTCATCGGCAGCAGTGGAAGGGGGAACTTTCTGTCCCTTTCCCTGGGGAGCCAGGACAGACGGGTCCCTGCAGGACTCACAGACACGGCCCCGGGCAGAGGCAGCACAGAGACCCTCACCCAGAGCTCTCAAACACATCATCACTGAATCACTAAACAATAAGGAGGTACAGGTGAGAAGATGATTCTGTCTCACAACAGAACACAGCTCCTAGGAAAGGCATTGCCAGAAAGCTGTCATTACTGTTACATGACTGGATGCCACAGCCTCCCAAAGAGATGCTGTGTAAGAAGTAAAGGGTACATTTGAGTGCCTGAGCATAGCTGCTCAAAAAGCAGCAGAGGACCACTAGAAGAAAAGATGCCTCCAGTTGTAGAGAGTTACAACAGATCCATTCTCAGTTCGGACTCATCCTCCGCTCCCAGTCTCCCGCACTGATTTTCAGGAGCAGCCATAAAACCATTTGGGACAGAGCACACTGCTGGTGCGAATGACACAACAGCTTTCATTTGGCAAAAGGTCACTTGTTGATACCAGCAACGGGTTTGCCCTTCTTCCCACAGGTGAAATAGGGGAGTGCTCCATCTCCATGCCATGTCTTGATAGCGGGGCTTCAGCAGCAAGGGAGTCTTTGTTTTCTGTGGCTTTCAGCAGGACCTAGCAACCTAAAGAAGCATTCTGCCCATAGCATCCACAGTCTGGGTACAATTAGGAACACAAATTGACCATTACATCCTTTATTAATATGCTCCAGTTTTTATCACAGTATGCTAGAGATTGGAAGGGACCTCAAAAGATCATCTAGTCCAATCCCCCTGCCGGAGCAGGAACACCTAGATAACGTTACACAGGAATGTGTCCAGGCGGGTTTTGAATGTCTCCAGAGAAGGAGACTCCACAACCTCCCTGGGCAGCCTGTTCCAGTGTTCTCAGTCACCCTCACTGAGAAGAAGTTTCTTCTCAAGTTTAAGTGGAACCTCTTGTGTTCCAGTTTGTACCCATTACCCCTTGTCCTATCACTGTTTGCCACTGAGTAGAGCCTGCCTCCATCCTCGTGACGCTCCCCCTTTATATATTTATATACACTAATAAGGTCACCCCTCAGTCTCCTCTTCTCCAAACTATAGAGACCCAGCTCCCTCAGTCTTTCCTCATAAGGGAGATGCTCCACTCCCTTAATCATCTTAGTTGCCCTGCGCTGCACTCTCTCCAGCAGCTCCCTGTCCTTCTTGAACTGAGGGGCCCAGAACTGGACACAATATTCCAGATGCGGTCTCACCAGGGCAGAGTAGAGGGGAAGGAGGACCTCTCTCGACCTACTAACCACCCCCCTTCTAATACACCCCAGGATGACATTGGCCTTCTTGGCCACAAGGGCACAGTGTTGGCTCATGGTCATCCTGTCGTCCACTAGGACCCCCAGGTCCCTCTCCCCTACACTGCCCTCTAACAGGTCGTTCCCCAACCTAGACTGGAACCTGGGGTTGTTCCTGCCCAGATGCAGGACTCTACACCTTCCCTTGTTATATTTCATCAAGTTATTCCCTGCCCAACTCTCCAGCCTGTCCAGGTCTCGCTGGATGCCAGCACAGCCTTCTGGCGTGTCAGCCACTCCTCCCAGCTTAGTGTCATCAGCAAACTTGCTGATAGTACACTCAATTCCCTCATCTAAATCATTGATGAATATATTAAATAATACTGGTCCCAGTACTGACCCTTGAGGCACTCCACTAGATACAGGCCTCCAACTAGACTCCGCCCCATAGACTACAACTCTCTGGCTTCTCTCCTTCAGCCAGTTCACAGTCCACCTCACTACCTGATCACCCAGACCACACTTCCTCAATTTAGCTGTGAGGATGCTGTGGGAGACTGTGTCAAATGCTTTGCTGAAGTCAAGGTAGACCACATCCACCGCTCTGCCATCATCCATCCACCGTGTTATTTCCTCATAAAAGGCTATGAGATTGGTCAAGCATGACTTCCCCTTGGTGAAGCCATGTTGACTGCCCCTCATAACCCTCTTATCCTTGATATGCCTTAAGATGGCACCAACGACAAGGTGTTCCATCACTTTCCCAGGGATGGAGGTGAGGCTGACCGGTCTATAGTTACCCGGGTCCTCCTTCTTGCCCTTTTTGAAGACTGCAGTGACATTTGCTTTCCTCCAGTCCTCGGGCACCTCTCCCGTTTCCCAAGACTTGGTAAAGATGATGGAGAGTGGTCTAGCAATGACTTCCGCCAGTTCCCTCAGCACCCGCGGGTGCATCCCATCTGGACCCATGGATTTATGGATGTCCAGATCGCTCAACTGGTCTCTAACCCATTCCTCATCGACTAAGGCAAAACGCTCCATTGACCTGACTTCATCTGAGGTCTCAGGGGTACAGGGCTCTTCAGGACTGCCTCCGGCAGAGTAGACAGAGACAAAGAAGGCATTCAGTAACTCTGCCATCTCTGTATCTTCTGTCACCAGGGCACCCATCCCGTTCATCAGTGGGCCTACATTACCTCTGGTGTTAGTTTTATCTGCCATGTATTTGGAAAAGCTCTTTCTGCTGTCCTTGACCCCTCTCGCCAGATTTAATTCTAAGGAGGCCTTAGTCATCCTAGCTGCCTTCCTACGTCCTCTAGCAGCAGCCTTATATTCCTCCCAAGTGGCCAGCCCCTCCTTCCATGACCTGTAAACTCTCCTCTTCCACTTGAGCATACCCAGCAATTCCCTATTTAGCCACACAGGTCTCCTGGTCCTCTTCCTTGACTTCCTACGTGTCGGGATGCTCTGATCTTGAGCTCGGAAAAAGCAATCCTTGAATGCCAACCAACTATCTTGGGCCCCTTTACCTTCAAGCAGCCTTGCCCATGGGATTTCCCCTAGCAATTGCTTGAAAAGGCCAAAGTTTGCCCTGCTAAAGTCCAGGTTTGCAATTCTACTTGCTATTCTACTGGTCCTACCACACAAGATCCTGAATTCCACCATCTCGTGGTCGCAGCAACCAAGGCAGCCCTCAACCCTTACTGCTTCGACCAGACCCTCCTTGTTAGTGAGGATGAGATCCAGCAGCGCTCCTCTCCTGGTCGGCTCATCCACCATTTGCAGGAGGAAGTTATCACCCATACGCTGGAGGAACCTCCCGGACTGTGGCTGGGTTGCCGAGTGGTCCTTCCGGCAAACATCAGGGAAGTTAAAATCCCCCACGACGACCACAGCCTGTGACTGTGAGGCCGCTCTCAGCTGCCTGTAGAAGGCCTCATCAACTTCCTCACCCCGATCCGGTGGTCTGTAACAGACACCCACAACAGTATCGCCCCTGCCAGCCTGCCCCTTCATTCTCACCCACAGACTCTCAACTCGCTCGTCATCTGTCCCTGGACAGAACTCGGTGCATTGTAGTTGCTCCCGCACATAAAGAGCAAACCCACCACCCCGCCTGGCTGGCCTGTCTTTTCTGAAAAGGACATAGCCCTCCATGACTATATTCCAGTCATGTGAGCTGTCCCACCGCGTCTCTGTAATTGCCACCAGATCACAGGCTCCTGACTTAACACAGGTTTCCAACTCCTCCTGCTTATTTCCCATGCTGCGCTCATTGGTGTACAGACATTCCAGGGAGCGAGCTGAGCACACCGATTTCACCCTAGGGTTATAGGAGGCCTCCCAGTCTTCATCAATTCTGGAGCGCTGCCCCACTGGGGCAAGCCCAGCTACAACCCCATCCCCCTTCGAATCTAGTTTAAAGCTCTCCAAATGAGCCCTGCTAATTCGTGCCCCAGCATCCTTTTGCCTCTGTGAGACAAACCTTTCTCACTTGTCATTGTCCAGACTGGTGCCCTATAAAACCAGCTGTTATCAAAGAATCCAAAGCCCTGCCTGTAGCACCAGTCTCGAAGCCAATTGTTTATGAACTGAGTGACACCTTCCACCAAGTCCTGCTCATCCCAAGGAGATCCCTGCTGAGGGAATGGACCAAGGCTTCCAGCAAAAGGCGCCTGCACCCACAGCTCCTGGGAGCCATCGCTAGGGGCTGGAGGACCCCCGGCCCCTTTAAACCTCTCCCTCCCCAGCAGCAGCTGGGGACAATGCTAGGGCGGGGCAGAACACGGGGAGCCCCAACGTTCCGCTGGGGTGGTGTCCAAGAGTCCTTAGCAACAGCCACCAGTCAGTACAGACCATGGAGCTGCCACCACAGCAGCTCCCACTGGATGGCCCCCAGGCCCCGCTCGTGCTTCAGCTCATTCCAAACTCTGCGCTCCCCGAAGGCTTCTACCCTCAAGGTGGGAACCTACCCGGCAGCCACGGCTGCTGTGGGGGCAAGAGCGGAGGTGACCGCGGCCATGGCTCCTGTCTCTCTTTCAGGCCAAGCCAACCTGTGCCAACCTCTGCCAGCCTCTGCCAACCTCTGCCAACCTCTGCCAACCCTTGCCAACTGCCAGCAGCAGCCCTTCCCTGCATCATGGATCCCCTGGAGAGCATTGTCACCCTCGGACGAGCAGGAGCCACCAGCAGGTCTGTCACCCCTGTCTGCTCTTGCACCCCAGCACCTTCTACACCTCCAACCTTCCCAAGGCCGGGTGCTGGGGGATCCCACCCCTCTGTCCCCAGGCAGATCCGGCACAGGGGCTCTGCAAGCCCGGCAGGGCATCCCTTCTCTCGCCTGGCTGGGGTGTGCCCAGTCAGTCCCATCTCCAGGGACGTTCCCAAAGGCTCAGGGCCACCTCTCCCGTTCCACCTCCCAGAAGCTACTCTCCTCCTTCTTTCCCAGCCCGTCCTGCCAGCACAGCAGCTCAGCCGTAGGGAGCGCCCCGGCCACCAGCTCCCCCCGAGCCTGGCGCAGAGCTGGGGGCTGCAGGCAATGCGGGTGGCCCTGGACGTC